ACCATGCTAACTTCTCTAAAACAAAAAAGAATTTTGATTATTTTTAATAGTGGAATCCTACAACCCTAATAAAACTTTTTATGTACTTCTTTTTTGTTTATTCTTAGTTTTATTTTTTTTAAAAAGCACTTTAAACTGTTTAAATAACGTAAAATTAAATTGATTTAAACAGCCAATCATACGAATGTCTGCCTATGAGGGGTGAGGTGTATAATTTGAGAAGTTGGCTCACCATAATGTGTAATCTGTTAAAAAATAATACTGTCACGGGCAAAAGGTGGGATCTACAAATTTTGGCACAGTAAACTCGTGACTTGGAAGAATAAGTGGCTTCGAGAAAATGTTATAACTAGGTTAATCATGTTAAAGGCTTAGCGAAATATGGGGTGCGTCAATAGAAATCAAGCAAATTTTTTATAATAAAATTTTTTTATAACTTTAAATAAGAATAACTTGGCAAAAGCATAACCAAATTTAATAAAAATTTTTTTAAACAATTTTTACAAACTTGTACGTAGAATTAATTTTATTTGCTTGGTTTCTATCGACTCAACCCATATTAATAGAATATTCTGGCAATAACAATAGAAAACAAGGAATGTTCGTAGAATAGAATTCTTAATCATCAAAGGATAAAAGAATACTAAGCCGTATAACTTTCAAACTTATAAAAAGACTTACATCCTACAGGATTCCAATATTCTGTTTATAAGACATTAATAAAGTTCCCAACAAATCCCTCTAATAAATCGTTCAAAACAAATTACGCTTGCTAAATCACCAACGTCACGCCTCTGGCGAATTGCCTTATTGCATAAATTCTATATTTTTGTGTATAAACTATTGATCGTAGAATTTTTTTGAGAAAAAATTAGATTTATTTCGATAAAATATCAACTAATAAATGTAATTGTCGCCAATAGAATTTTGTATGGCAAATGGATATTCAACAACAACCTGATAATTTAAATCTAAAGTTAGTAACTATCGATATCTCCAAAATTACAAAGTAATATAACAAATAAAGTCATGCGAAGATCAGAACAAAAGAAAATTACTGTATCATTCTGTTATATATGAATGACGGTAAGCTATTCTAGAAAAGTCACTTTGGTAAGTGTTTGGAACGGGCAAGAATACAATTATATGAGAAAGAAATTCTTAGTACAGTATATGTAGTTTTTTTTTTTTTTTTGCGAGCATAAATAATGCAAAAAAAGAATTGTATTAAAGATGTAGAAACTGTTACGGCTTATATCTCTTTGCCGTATCTTTAAAAAACATGTGAATAAAAATTAAATAAATAAATAAATAATAACAATAATAACATAATTTAGTCAAAAAAAAAAAAAAAAGTATAAAAAAATTTTCTGCCATAAATAAGCACCAGTAAGATATAATTTACTACTCTTACAACTCCTTATTGTGGCACATAAACTTCCTTAAGAATGCTTATATCTTTCTTTCTTGCAAATACTCTTTTTTGTGTAGAATATACTTCACCACGTTTGTCTTTCATCTCTTTTCCAAGCTCTCTTAGCAATTGGTCATATTCTTCAACCGAAATTCCCATATAAGGTGCAAGAATTACTTTCATAAGTTTCAGATAGTATAAAGCAATTTCAGAAGAAAACTCTCCAAAACCATCACCTCCAATAGGAATTTTTATTATTTGAGATGATATAAATTCGAATTTCTCTGTCATTTTAAGGTAATCTTCTAAGTGTGTTATTAGATCAAGATCAATTCCACAGTCCTTGTTCCACGAAATGACTAAAGGATTGTGAAAAATTGAGAAGATATTACTAAATATAAATTATATAATTTTTTTTTTTTAAAAAAAAGAAAGAATAAACGTACGTGCAGTATTCAATCGTTCAGAAGCTGGCCCAGTAAATTTATCTGAACGAAGTGAATGTACAATCTAATATTAATAATTTTCAGATTTGTGATGTTAAATCGTAAAATTAATAATAATAATAATAATAATAATAAATAAATAAATAAATAAAAAAGAGTGCACTTTCTTACCTCTAACCAACCTTCTGGTTTTAATACTCTGAGGATTTCAAATAAAGCTCCTTGAAATATATTTTTTGAAAATAAATTCGATTTATTTCTGCAAAAAACATAATCAAATT